TCTAGATTCACATTAGACCTCTTAGCAAGGCTCATCATAGCTCTAAAAAAATGTAAAGAAAAATATCACTGCACAGCTCATTACTAACTCCTGATTCAGAAGGCAAAAATACAGCTCCAGAGTCAAATGCAAATCCTTCCAGCACAGGATCTGAAAGCAATGGTATTTTCGGCTTATATTTGGGTTAAGTACCCTTCAAATATTTAGGTTTAATCTTGAGTGAAAAAGTCTGGATGCTCAGATTAAAATATATAGTGCTGAATACTGGCTTTATTGCCTCAACAGGATGCTTCTTCCAGTAGAGTACCTACTCAAGCACTTCTGAACTCTTCACTTTGGTATAAATAGTGAACCTCAGTCAGTCATGTCTATTGTGTAAGTTGCCAGCAAGACCTTACTTAGCCTTTAAAGTTGCCTACTGTTGAGAAAAGACTCCAGAAGTCTCCCCTCAATCTGTAAAGATGGTACTAGTGTTAATTTTCCTTACTATATGTCACACACATGATAAAGTAGATGTCCAACCAACCAAATCTTAACCTTTGTAATGAAAAAGTTGCACAAAATCAGTCTTACCCTTGCCCTTGCCAATAATGATGATAATGCAGAATTGAAACAATATCTGAACTCATTTTCAATTATTCTCTCCTATCTTGGTACACTGATATAGAAACACTTTAAGATTTGTAGATGGGACATCAGCTGTCTAACAGACAAAATTAAAACCCCAGACCACAACTACACAAGATGAAAAGAGGCAATTAAAATGCACTTCTAGTACCATTCTCTCTAATCGAAACATCTCTGCCCAATGCAATGTAGATATGAACCTAATTTACAGAAGTTGTTTGATAAATCCCAAACAGACATCTTGTCATTAATTCTAACTGAGTAGCCTACTGGAACTCCCTACCATTCACATCAGGCTTTTCAGCAGAGTAACAACATGGTCACTGGTAAATCAGTGCTTTTGAAAGGTTCCAGACTGAGTTATCGCTGCAAGCTTGTCAAGGTATGTATTGCTACACAGAGAAAGAAGAATTAAGCAGCAATTCAAATTAATTTATGTACTGCATTTATGGAAGGAGTAGGAGTATGATCTATAATGCATTTAATAGGGAACCACTCTGAGTGATTTTCAGTTAAACAACAAAACAACACAACAGAACCTGAGGTCCAGGAGGCTGTTTTTTAATAAATTTTTGAATCCCTTTCAGCAACATCTTCAGTATGGTGATGTCTGCAGATCAGAAATGTAAAATTTTACCTCAGAGAGTAATGACAAAGGGCTAAGTTCAGCTTAGTGAAAGAATCTTCTTTTGAATAAAGTTCACAATGACCAGGTCAAGCTTCTGCTCTCAACTGAACTCTGGCAGACACCTCCTTCAGCAGAAAAGGAGCACTTACAGACTGGTCACACTGAATTAAGGTTAGTAGCCTTGAACTGCACTCTTATTCACAAGGTGTGCTGGTTTGGGCTGGGATGAAATCAGTTTTCTTCACAGTAGCTAGTACTGAGCTATGTTTTGGATTTTTACTGAAAACAGGGTTGATAACACAGAGATGTTTTACTTCTCACTGAGCAGTGCTTACACAGAGTCAAGGCCTTTTCTGCTCCTCACCCCACCCCAACAGTGAGGGGGCTGGGGGCGCAGAAGAAGTTAGGAGGGGACACAGACAGGACAGCTGATCCCAACTGATCAGAGGGAGATCCCATACTGTATGATGTCATACTCAGCACATAAAGCTGGGGGAAAAAGAACCAAGGATGGGGACAGTCAGAATTACGGTATTTGTCTTCACAAGTATCCATTATGCATGATGAAGCCCTGCTTTGCTGGAGGTGGCTGAACGCCTGCCGGTGGAAAGAGGTGAACAAATTCCTCATTTTGCTTTGCTTGCATGAGCAGCTTTTGTTTTACCTGTTAAACTGTCTTTATCTCACTCCATGACTTCTCTCATTTTTACTCTTTTGATTCTCTCCCCCAGTCCCACAGCGGGGGGAGGAAGTGGCTGCATGGTACTTAGTTGCCAATTGCGGTTAAACCATGACACCAGGTTACACACCCAGGACCACCTCTCTGACCACAGAAGCTGCATGCAGCTGTTAGTTAAGCTCTTCCTCCAAATTCACACCCAATGAGCTGTTTTTAAAGTGAGTAAGGTTCATGTAGTAGGTATTTATTTCATTTTTCATATATCTTCTATGTGTCTGTACCTCCTCTTCCTTTGGGTAGCCTTCTGAAGTTTCTCTAAGATACTATGTACACTGCAATAAAAGCTTTATATCTGTTTCAAAAATAAGTAAAGAAGAAGGCATGAGATTGGTCACTACCTCTTCCCTTCTGAAAGTTGTTTCAAATAATTTTCTCTTTGCTCGACATTCAAAGTGTTGAATGTGAGTATTTTCACCGGTGACAAGAGTTTTCTTGAGAAACCTTTAGACATCTGCTTTTATGGCCTCTCAGGCCATCAGGAAACCTCAAAATATTTAGATATTGGCTAGTTACAAAAGAGTGACCCAAACTTTCAAATGCTTATGCAAACTGATTTGGACAGTTATGATGTTTCAAGGTCAGTCAGTCCAATCTCTGACTAGTAGTGCTGAGCAAGTAGCTAAAGATTTTTTTCATGGAATGCTGTTTAAACATAAAAAAAAATATCTGCTGCAGCCACCCTATTCTATTTCTTGAGCTCACTTCCAGCTCAGCATTCAAATGGCTACATTCTATTGGAGCAAAGAAAAATCAAAAATATCGATACACACAATCAATGGCTTTGCACTCGTGCGCAACTACTCCAGACAATGGTGCTTGCATATAGTAGGCCAAAATTGGAATGAAGCACTGTATTCAAAACCAAAAACCATTTACACACAAAGAAATTGTAATATGCTTTTACGTGGCCTACAAGCAGCAAATAAGACAAAGTAAATTGGATAAATTATTCATTAAAAATTATTTTTTCATCTCTAGGATTCAGTGTGAAAGAATAATAATTATGCTAATGGTCAACAAATAGATCCACTTGCTTTTAGTATCCAGCTGGATATGTAATATAGTGATTTATTCGGGAAGAAAAACTGTATTGATCTTATCCTGCAAAATTAAAAATATTTCCCCCTAAAATATCATTTACAAATTCATGTGTAGATGTATGACAGTGGCCTTTTCCTTCTACCTTCACATCCAACAGAGTTTTAATTATCATCTCAGTCCATAAAATATCAAGATGATTTAGACTGCACTTACATGTCTTTGCAAGGTGGCAAAAGATTTTCATTACAAACTGGTGAATGACAGCAAGTCAGGGGAAACCCACATATTCCTAACAGTGGAACAGCAATGCTGAAAGGGCATAGGAGATGAAAGGATCTCTAAAACATCTGAATTTGTCTTATAAGGTGATATGATTCAAGGCCAGGTTGGACGAGGCCTTGGGTAATATGGTTTAGAGCGAGGTGTCCCTGCCCATGGCAGGGGGGTTGGAACTTGATGATCTTAAGTTCCTTTCCAACCCTAACTATTCTATGATTCTATGATTTGTTTTTATTGGAGTAATCCATTACAAACTAAAACAACTCATTTAACTGTGTGCACATCTGGCGCTCCTGAGAGTGTAAGCACTGCAAAAAACGTGGAACGCTTTCCTAACATTGATAATCCAGATGCCTCAACTTCTCCTCCTGCTTTCCATATATTTACCATCCATTAAAAGTGTAAGAAATGTTCCTTAAAAACCGCTTAATACCGTAGGACATTTACTAGTACTGTAGATGAAAAACAAACAAAACAAAAAGAAGAAAATATTTACTAAATTTATAATATTAATCTTGCATCACAAGGGCTCTATTTTGAAATTTGTCACTCATGGATTAAAAAAAGATGCAGTTCTGCATAGAAAGTGTCATACATTTTGATACTAATGGATAATACACTACCTATCAAGGAAGGATATTCTCTTTAAGTTCCTTTTTTAGCAGAGCTATGTTCTCATTAAAGACGGGAATTGTGCTGAGGTACAGAATAATGGAGAGTAACTTTCTTTCCCTCCTTTTCTGCAGCTGTTGCTCAGTTGTGATTCTTGGCATTAACAGAATGTGTGTCCCTGATTTGTGGCTGTGATCTAATCTCTACTCTGTAAATACAGATTGTTGAGTAAAGCTTTTTCAACAAAGATTAATTTCTGTTTCAGTTTACTTTTTCCTGTTATAAGAAGACCATTAACTGAATAAAACTGCATATTCTCAATTATAGTGTATCTTCTCAACAGTTCTCCTTGTGATAGGATTACAGAATGAGTGGGATGTTCATTTCACCCTTGGATTTGCCACAGCTAGAAAATGTCAGACATTGTAACTGATAGTACTTTCCTCTCTACCTGGGTATTTGTTGTTATGGTGATAGTTCCAGAAGGGAACATTAATGAGGATGACTTGAAAGCTTTGATGTTTACAGAACAATTATTTTTAACATCTCATAAGAAAAAGTGACAGTTCCGCTCTTTGCTAAATATGCATCACTGTATCAGCTTCCATGAAAACTACCCAAATTTCTATTTGTTATGTATCTGTAACACAATGCTGAATACAAATTCACATGTATCTATTTACATGTAATAAAAAGGTTTTTGAAGAACAAAAAAAAAATCCCATTTTCTCACAAAGGATATAATCTGTTATTCCTAAGAACTTGCCTACAGTAATGAGTAACTTTTAATTATAATGCAATCTTTAGAATATCTGGATTGCTCTTTCATGACACTTTGAGATCTACCCAGCATGACCTTCTCATATCCAAAACTGTGCTGTGAACAATTCTATGAACCCACATCACCAAAACCACAGCTCTGGAGACATACTGCATCGCTGAGACTGTAATTCACCACAGGGGTAAGCAGTAAAGACAGGCGAATTATTGACCTGGAGTCTTCCAGATCAGAGGTACTTGATGTTCACCACAGAGCTTAGCTCATACATGTTGTGAATGCATGCAGTTACTTACATATTCTTCATAGGCCTCGTGTGCAGGTGGCGGGGGTGGTCTGTAGCCTGGGACAGCCGGGGCACCCCTTGCTCGAGGGGTGGGGACGCCTCTCGCCACTGGTGGGACGGGGAGGGCTCCACGGGTCACTGGTGCTCCTCGGGGTGCTTGGGCACCTCTTCCAGGCAGGGGAGGAGGAATTGCACCCCCACGTCCCCTGAGGGGGTAAAAAAGGAATGATAACCTTGGTGTGAAAGGCAAGGGAGGACACGCAAGTGCTACCGCATTTTAAAGGCTCTTACATTTTTACTGTTATTTAAAGTGTCATATAACTTTGGCAGCCACAATGTCAAGCACTTTTAGGCAATATCTCAGGCAGAACTCATGTTATGGAAAGGCATTATTTTTACACCATCCAGTGCCTGTTACACCTCATCTTGCTCCTCGTACTAATGAAATTCTGGCTCATCGTAGTTCACAGAGTTGCAAAGTTACTCCAAAGTAGTTCTAGAGGAGAAAGTGAGAAACTTTTTCTGTTGCTCTCAAACTATTTTATGACAGCAGTCATCACTCTCATTCTCATGTTTATTGGTGGGTGGGAGAAACTGACTGGCAGAATATGCTGTAGTATGGCAGAAACTTTCAAGGCAAAGTAGAGCAAGAGTATAAAAGCAGAGTGCAAACTTTTCTGTCCATCTAATTTACTTCAGCACAAGGGAAGTGCAGCACGGGATTCTGCTTTCCCCTACTGTGCAGAGAGAAGAGTAGCATACAGGCAAGCGCAGGGAGGTTTAGCATCTTCCTATGTATTTATACAATATCCACCTTGCTGTAATGTACTTGGTAAGTCAGAAGAAGATGTTACTGGTTAAAAAGAGGTTCTTGTAGCTATATCATATGGCTCCCTGAAGCCTTCTCTTTTTCAGGCTGAACAAGCCCAACTCTCTCAGGCTTTCTGATTGGAGAGGTACTCCAGCCTCTGACCATTTTCATGGCCCTCATCTAGACCCACTCTAACAGGTCCATGACTTTCTTGTGTTGGGGACTCTAGAACTAAATTCAATAATCAAGGTGAGTTCTCATGAAAGCAGAGTACAGGGGGACAATCACTTTCCCTGACCTGCTGGTTATGCTTCTTTGATGCAGCCCAGGATATGGTTGGCTTTCTGGGCTACGAGTACACATCTGCTTTTCATTCCTTAGGGAATCCTTTTCAATCCTTAGGAATTGTTCTCAATCACTTCATACTCCAGTCTGAGCTGACACTGGTGACTGATTACCCACGTGCAGGACCCAGCACTTGTTCTTTCTTGTACTTCATGAGGTTCACATGGCCCGCTTCTCAAGCCTGTCAAGGTTCTTCTGGAAGGCATCCTTTCCTTCCAGCTTACCAACTACACCACTATAAATATCATTATGCTATTACCGTAAATTATTATCATAAATATGTATCTTAAATACTTCAGTGTTGTTTATTTTTAATATTCTCCCGGGGTATCTGACTGGAGAATAAGCAAAGCATCCAAGTTCCTGTATCTGTGCAACCGATACAATCAGTTGGGTATCTTGCAGGAGCCAGCACTTCGCTGATTATGCTCTGAACCTAACTAAAAAGCTCCCAGTGTGTTGCAGTGATGTCCTGAACATTATTATTAAGTCAAGCCCTTCAGACTAGTTTCTGAGCCCAAAAATACTTCGTGTGGAAGATGGTCATGAATGCAAAGTGTAAAAAATCCTATGTATGTGCATCATATTACTGATAAAAAATTACATTCAAGAAAAACTGAGTGAAAACATGATGGACACCTTCAGGGGAAAAAAGAAAGGTCATAGGCAAGATCAGCCAGTTCAATTACCAAAGAACAACTCCTCTGTCAGCGTGAAATAAGGTACCTCCATATCCTATTTCTTCCAAAATAAAAGTAGATTTCTTAGGACTGACCCTGAAATGATGTCTATGGAAACCTAAAAGTTGCTAGGTAACTTAGATACCTGAGGCAACAGATTTCTTAAGGGCTCACAGTGAAAAATGTGTCTGAAAGAGTGTAGTAAGATTATATATTGGCCTCACGAAAGAGCAGAGCTGTTACCTGTACGTGCAAAAATACTTGGAAGAGCTCAAGAAAAATTCATACATCAGTGTTTTTAGATGATGACAGTCTCATTCATATAAAACTGTTAATCCATGCACTAGATAATATATAATGCAATATATATGTATTATAGATACAATATACATACAAAAAAAAAAAAGAAGTAATTATCTGGCAAATAAATTCTCCACCCAGACTATGTAGCCTTCTCTGACTATACTATTTCACTGACCATCAATTTAATGCTGCTGACCACACCACTGCTGTGCCAACATAGCAATATTCTTTCCTAGAAATATCCTTTCACTCACTTCATAATCTGCTCTGATTTGTTGCTTGATTACTTGTGTACCACCCACTGTAGCCTGTGGATTGCAGGTGACAGAACTGTAGGCATCACACAGATCATACAAGCTATCAGAAGGAAAACATTTTGGTTCACTGACCATGATGTGTACTTGACTATTTTTTTTTTTTTAGATATGCTTGTTTTGCCATTGTTTATACTGTCTTTAGGTCAGGTTACCACACCTTGAAGGAGCTGCTGGTGGCACACGAATCCCCCTTCCTCGAATGCCCCGTCCACGCGCTGAATCCTCAGAACCATTCAAATATGACAGTTCTCTCAGCTGTTCCTGGCGAATTTCATCGTTATAGTCCTAAAATGCAAAAGGTAAAACTTGCTGAAAGTTTGCATTTTGGCTATGAAAGCACCCAAACCAGAAAGTTTGTGTTTTGCAAGTTTTTATTTTGAAAGTTTGTGTCTTTTCTGAGCTGCCAATACACCCAAACCAGAAACTACATGGACAGCATTTGGGTGAATCATTCTGCAGTATCACCTGCATGCTGAAAAAAAACATATATTGGGAGCAGGGAAGTACCTACAGTAAGTGGGCAGACAAATTTATACGGGGAGTGAAGATGGCCATAAAGAACATGTACACACAGAATAAAACACACAAGGCATAGTAAGTATAAACACAAAGCATACATCACGAATATATCTGTATACAAGATGCAAAGGGACTTTCACATATAAAAGGTACCAATCTCAAACAACTTCAAATGAGATCAAAAAATGCCTTTTACACATGTATTTTTCTGGGCAGAACCCCCTGGCTACCTTTATGCACTTAAAATGCAAATTCCACATTACATTGCACCTTAGTATACAGAATTTACACTAGAGTCATTTGATTAGGTGATTTAATCCAGTACTAGTTAGCATCACTGAATGAAGCCTTCAATTATTCTGTTTATCTACTAAACAACTTGTTATAGGAGAAAGAGCTCTCTCTTTTGGATTGATAAGTAACAAAGATATGTTTACTATATAAAATTGTTAAATGATATAAAATAGGCCCATTCCAAGAGTGCAGGGTATCCACTTTATCACTGCAAACTCAGTAAACAACATCAGATGAATTTCCTTTTCTTACTGATACAAAATACATAATATTGGGCAATTTTTACTTATTTTTGTAACCTCTGTCTCAGTCAAAAGTTCTTCTTTGTTTCCTTCCTTTGGTGTTCTGCTCTTTGCCTGATGATCACAGTAATAACAGCCCAGCGCATCAGCTGGCTCACTGGCAGCACAACTGTGTGACAGATAATTAGTGTTTGAAAACATAAAGGATTACTGAATTTCATCTATTGAATTTCTCCATCTTTCCACAAGCAACTGCCACTGACTGTCATGCAAGAGTCTGAAAATGCTACAGTGCCTCCTGTCTTGAGTAGGTGACTGTTCAGGATATACAAGTGACACCTCTTTTTAGCCAAGTTAAAGACCTAGCAAACAGTTAGATGGAATCAAGGTGCTCCTTCTCCCTCCTGAGGAGGTCCAGGAAATGTGTTTAAAGACATGATGCTGATCTTCTGTGTTCTAAGACAGTGTTAATCTGGTCATAATTTCCCTTCTAAATTTCTACAGACTGAAGCTGGAGTAAAATCTATTCATGAAATTCAGAAAAGAAGCTCATTTATACTTGCAGCAGAATCATAATTGAAATCAAATCCCTAATTTGCTAGTAAACCAGTTCATGGCTTTGAGTTCACACCAATCCCCAAATCCTTTTTCACATTTTTCTACCATTCTAACATTAATGGTAATAAGCAAAAGACATCTTCCTAAATCAATGCTCTGTGTAAAACACAGAGGGAAAAGCACAGACAGAATCAGTGATGTCACATTTACAGCAATTGCTGAACAGGTACAATCTACTGTAGCTTGCTTAATATCATCTATTATGCATACTGGCTTTATGAGGATTAGGACTTCCCACTTGCTGATTAAGTTCACCCTTCAGACTCCAGACCAGTGCTGGGACTGCACTTCATTAATAATGCAAGAAAATTATAAGAGAAAGATGTGGGGAAGAGAAAAAAAAAAAAATAAAAATAAAAAAAGAAAAAAGAGAAAGGCCCTGCAAGGGACAGGAACTGGAACTGTGCTGCTGCTTTAATATCTTTTTTTTTGGAACACTGTCTTATAAATGAATTCTACCAGAATTGCCACAGAGCTGCTATTCCTTCCTCAGATATGCGCCATTTAAAATCTTACTATTGATGAAACAGAAAATCCAAATAAAATTTATAACATAGAGCCAGACCTGCAAATCTACACCACTGTGCTATGCAATGCCTTTAGTTTTTCCTCAGGTTATTTACTGCCTGTCCAGTTAAGAAGTATCTACAATGTATTTTGAAGTGCAAGGTAAAGACAACAAAGTACATGAAGACTGTAATGAGGACGCTGGGATGGGATCCTGAAAGAGAAAGATTTCAATAAACATTTATAACTCTATATAGATCAATTATCTTATGTTCCATTCATAAAGCATAATAAAGACCATAATTTCTAAACCTAAAATCTGAAATTTTCAACAGAAATGCCCACTTCAACTCCTTCATTAAAGAGAAACGTAACACTGAATTAATCTTTCATAACTGCTACATGAGTTCAGCTAGAGAGAGTATCCTGCTGAATATTTAATTGTAGCTGAATTCAGAGCCTAGCATATGAGCAAAATTATGCAGCTGAAGCTTCATATATATCTAGTCCCAAGAGAGAGCACAAGATGTTGCAAGACATACCTGTACTGAAGAAAGTATAATGAAGTAGGTATACACTGCAGCAGTATGCTATGTTTTAGAATAATCCCCCTACTCTTCCTATTAAAATAAGCTCATGGGAAATATTCTGTACTTCTCAGCTTTTCTTCTAGTTTTCTAATAATCTTATAGCCAGTCTATAATCTGATAATCTACATTAGCCTATTTGTTTTGCTCTTGTTTATATCCTGAAAGACATCTTTAAACAGCTTCACTACTTACTAATTATACTAAGGGTGTATCACAGTGATCAGTGTTTGCAAAGAACTGCTGTATTTGAGCAAATCACCTACAACTATCCACCTAAAGTTGCATCTTGACTTTAGAAATACCAAGAATTTACAAGCTTAGCAAAGTCAGTAGCACCATAAACTGTAATGTTTATATAAGTGCCTGAAACCAAATTATATATTCAGATAAAACTTTCAGTATTCTAGAGTACATGAACATGTTTACCCCAGATTACCAAAAATATGTTTATTAATGTCAGTTGGGAATGATTAATTAGGTTGCCTTGACTGCTGTAGAAACGAAGGAAGCCCATTAGCATCAGAGTCAGACTGGTGGCAGCTCACCCAGGGCCCTTCTGGCAGCATCAGCAGAGAGGTGCTGCAAAGTGGGAAAAGCACATAAGCTGCTAGAGAACTCAATAAACCATTTTAGTAAAAAATAGCAAGTATGACGCAAGCTGCAAAACCTGATCTGAATTAAGAAGGACGTGTAGTGACAAGGCAGGACAGTTAATAAAGAAATCAAAGGGTAAAGCATAGATAGACTCAACGGATTTTGGGAATATATATCTATCATTAGCATAATAAAGGCTCACAGCAGTCAAGGATAAATCAATCCCTTAAGGACTGTGATCTCCTGTCCTGATGTGCTTCACACATTAAAATTCTTTCCATGTGTTTGAATGATTTGCACTATTAATAAATATCATTATTCTTATCTGTGACAGCTGAATTTCATTCTAACTCCACAGTTAAGGGGAGAGTAATTTAGATTAAATACAAGTTACCTTAAGGATGCAGAGTTATGTAAGTCTAGCCTAAAATCATAATTCTTAATATTGACACTTTGAAGTATTAACAGGGCTCACTTGGTCCCTTATATAGATGACATTTTATAACATACACACATTCCTTACACAGTTAAGCTAGACATTTATCATGTGAAGTGCAGACTATCTTCCACATAGTGTTGCTACTACTTGGACAGATTTACAGGTATCCTAAGTCCACAGACAAACAACTACATATTAACACTTTGTATTTAAGTAATCCAATTACTTGATTTTAACTAAGTGAAAAAGTAGTCACAAAAATAAATGCTTTTCTTGTAGCTATTTTCTCTGTAACTCTTAAAGTGCTTCCCAAAGGTCCCAAGGTACCAGTAATTCAAACTTACAGCTGGATAATGCAGAGGTCCTATGGTTCTAGAAATCTCAGTCTGCACTGCCTGAACTACCAAATACTCAGGCACGTAATTCTATGAAGCTCTATGTTGTCAAAACAGAGCACCACATTCACAGTCATAGGTAAACCCCATCCTGAGATCTTCTCTTCTCAAGCTCAGGTAGGAGAAAAATCAGGACTGTGATTGCCACAGCACTTCTGCATCCTGCCCAGCTCTCAGCACCAGTAAAATAGCTCCAGGGCTCCATGTACTTGAAGAGATTCACTGAAGCCAGTCTCCCCTAAATCCTGATGTTGTTGCCTTGGGGCTATTTTCAGGCAGTTTAAATTCCAATTAGCTTAAAATTCCATTGAGTACATGCTTCAGAAAACCCACAGCTAGACAACAGGACACAAGACTCAGTGAATTTTAGATGGAGCTAAGTGACTTGAATATGGTCCTTTGTTTGCTTGTTTTGTTTGTTTGTTTGTTTTCAGATGCAGACTAATTTTGGACATTAAACCAGACATAGTCCACATCTCCCTTGTTTATAAGGGGAAGCACTAAGCCCCAAAAAATAACTGGTGGCACCAGTTCCTGGAGTTGATGATTGTGTTCTTTGTGACATCACAAGCGTGAGCTGTGCTATGATTCAGCTTCAAATCATGGTAAGAACCACACATTTGGATTCGTGGGGTGAGGATCAGCAGTTCATTATACTGAAGAGGCCAAGAACCCAGGAATTCCCACTTGCCAGCTGAGTACTTCAGTATCAGACTGTTACAAAAAAGAGTAGCAGCACTGGCTGCTCAGTACCAGAGCGCTTGGTGAACTAAATTCTGTGTCAACAGAGATGCTTGGCATTTCCTTATATTTTTTTATATTCTAAGATCCTGTCCAAAGACTCCAGTGCTTTAAAAATGTAAACATGGGACTTTTTGTTGCACATGCCCAAAGCCTTTCTCTATCACTGTCTACTTAGGAAACTTAAGACAATTATGTCAGGTAGGCTGGACAGCCCTCTCCATCACCTAAAATTTGGGTGAGACAGTGCCTCATCTGGGCATGTAAACTAGGTGGATGCAACTTCATTCTTTGTCACTCTAATACAAATTCAAAGTTCACTGCAAAATATGAGATTAATCTGTAG